GATGCGGGGATGGGCGGAGAGGGCGTTGCTGGGGGGGCGACTGGGCTTTCGCATTGTTGGAGACAACCCCCGCCGTTCCTTCTGGAGCTGCAGCCAGTCCTCTTGCTGGAGCACCCACCACCCGTCAGAGGCTGGGCTGAGGTCCGGCCACTCCTCGCAGAAGACCGCGCGGTCTTGCTCCCCCATGAGGTGGGTCAGCAAGCGCATGTAGTGGACCTTCCTGCTGGCGGTGGCCGCCACGACATCCTCGTTGGCGCCCCAGCGACTGGCGTTCTTGGAAGGGATTCCCAAGATTAGGGGGCAAACAAACCAACCTCGCTTTTGACCGCCCTCGCTTCCAAGAGATACCAAGCGATGCCAAACTACGGCCTGCACTGGTCAGGCCGCTTGACGAGGAGGCGCGTGGTATGACTTGGTCTTGCCTGGAAGCGAAAGCGGGGTACGTAATTCACGCTCTGAAAGACGAGCTCCGCCGCGTCTGGGATCGGGTCCGCGTGCGCCCGCAGGTCCTGGAGGAGCAGCGCCCGATGCTGATCGCGAGCCCTGGCCGCGGCCGTCGTCCCCCGAGGAGGGCCCCCCGCCCGCGGGCGGCAGGGCTCAAGTCCGGCCCTGCTCTGCCAGTAATCGCCGAAGTGCAGCTGCCTATCGCTGGTGCGCACAATCTGGCGAAGCCGCTCCTTCTGGTCCTCGGTCAGCTGCTGCAGTCTCTTGGCGGACACGTGCGTGGTGAGGTCGACCTCGCCGTCCGCCCCGCCAGAGGCTGGGTCGCGCGGGCGCGCGAGCCCCGCTCGCGACCTCGAGCGGCGACGCACCCTGCTCTGCGGCTTCGCTGGGTCGGCCTCGACGCCCCCCTCCTCCTCCTCTGCCGACGGGGGGTCCGACTTCTGATCTGGGCTGTAATCGAGATCGCGAACTTCAGCCGATTCCTGCGCGGAAATCCGCATCGCCTCGTCCAGCTGGTCATCCACGAGGTGGTCGCGGCGCTCGGCGCCGCCTGGGGCGCTGTCCGCAGGCTGGTCGCCGGCGGCAGCACCGGCATCGACGGTCGCCGCCGGCAGCAGCGCGTAGGCCTCGGCGTCGGCGAACGCCCCCGGCGCGGCGCCGCGGCGGGCGCCACCGCCAAGGGCTCCACCGGACAGGCGTCGTCAGGGGCTGGCCGGCTCTGCAGCGCGTGCTGGCTGGGGGCTGGCGGGCTCTGCGGAGCAGGCTCGCCGGGGGCCGGCGGCCTCTGCGGCGCGGGCTCGCTGGCGCGGGCCGGCTGCCGCGCCGCGTCTCCCGCCAGAGGCTGGGGCTCGGCCGTCGCCGGCGTCGCACTTGACGCCGGAGGCGCGGGCCTGGCCGGCGGCGGCGCCGCAATCGCCGCCAGAGGCAGGGGCCTGGCCGGCGGCGGCGCCGCAGTGGCCGCCGGAGGCTGGGGCGCGACGCCCGCAGAGGAAGGGCTCGCACTGGCCCCGGCCCACTGCTCCTCAGGAGGGAAGCCGAGCGGCCACGAGCGGGCGGCCTCGGCGACGTCCAAGAATATCGCCTCCGCGTGGGCGAGGTTCTCCGCCGTCTCGGCCTTCCCTTACATCAACCACCACATCGCCGCGAGCGGCTTCTTGATATCGTTTGCGCCCCACCCGAGGGTGAACTTCGCGCCAGAGGCTGCGAACGTCACTGACAAGTCCCAAGGGGACTGGTGATATTTCCAGGCCCAACCGTCCTCGTCGAATCACTTGGGATCGAGCGCCGTGTCCACCTTGTGCGGCGTGGCGGTGGAGACGAGCGGGTGGCTCACCAAGAGGGCGCGTACGCGATGGATGTTGGTGTAATGCTCCGTCAAGACGCCCTCCCTCACTCTGGTTTCCAGCTGCGCCTCCTGCGACGCTCCCATTGGAAGGGGTGTCCCGCCAGAGGCTGGGGCCCTAACGAGGAAAAGAACCAGGAGCCACTTGCGGTTTCCCCCGTGAGGCATCTGGACTGAGTAGTAGTGCCACGGCCGTTGTGCGCCGGGAGTCGGCTTGGCGCTGGCACTGCCAAAAGCAATGGTCTCGCTGGTTCGGAGAGGATGGTCGCGGCGCCAATCCCGCAAGTCTCTCGCCAGAGGCTGGGGTTCAGTCAAGTCTCCCGCCAGAGGAGGGCACCCAGCGAGTGGATGCTCCGACATCCCGAAGAGTGGAGGCGCTTGCAGCACGAGCGGCTTGGGCCGAGACAGCTGTGGAGAGCAGCTGCCCCCTGTTTTTTTTTCCTCGTCCCCGTCTTACGCAAACCCGTTCCCTGGAGCCCTCCCAGGATCCAAACGCCTCGATTTTCAGAGGTGCGTCCATCCGTGGCGACGAACGGCCCTCCGGGGGCGCGCTGCCGTTCTCCCCAAGAGACATCTTACGAACCGGGGGCTCCCCATATTCCATGGTTGCTATCTCCCACCTCTTGTACTCCGTCCTCCTCGTACTCGTCTTCTACTCTCTCCTGCTCTACTACTCCTGCCTCTTCCTCCCACTTCCACCCCCTCCTCCTCGTCCTCGTCCTCGTCCTCGTCCTCCTCCTCCTCCTCCCACTTTCCGCCCCACCCCTGCCCCCGTCCTTCCGCGTGCCAGGCACGCGCAGCTCTATGAAATCTCTGAGATTGCGCGCCGACGTTCCCACGCGACCAGCCACCCTGGGGAGGAGGGCCCGACCAGAGCTATAGCATGGGATCGCATAGCACTGCATCGCGTGGCCTAGCACGGCATATCAGCGCATCGCAGAGAATTCCACGTATCCGCAAGGCATTGCAATGCATAGCACTGAACACACTCACACTATGCAAGACACCGCCCTGAAGTACGCCAGAGCCGTACTGTGCACAACAGTGAGGAGGAGGAGGAGGAGGAAGGAGGAAGAGGAGGAGGAGAAAGGAGAAGGAGGAGGAGGAAGGAGGAGGAGGAGGAGAAGGAGGAGGAGGAGGAGGAGAGGAGGAGGAGGACGAGGAGGAGGAGGAGGAGGAGGAGACGATGAAGGGAGGAGGAGGGGGAGGAGGGGGAGGAGGAAGAGGAGGAGGAGGATGAGGAGGGAGGGGGGAGGGAGGGAGGGGGAGGGAGGGGAGAGGAGGGGAGGCAAGCTAGGTGCGCGCACGTCTTTTCTTACGTCCTACCTCTCCCTCCCGTCCCTCACCATGGCGCAGATGTCCTTTTTCATACGCACAATCAAATATCATGGCATGGCATCGCGCCAAGGGCTGGGGCCCGAAACGAAGAGGCGGCGCAAGCAACACCATCCCGTGCAGTAGATCCCCCTGACACTGCTTTCCCTAGGTGTGTTGAACAGCTCATTTTGAGCCAAACGGCGACTCGCGCGAAATTCAAACCAGAAAAAACACGTGAAACTGGGGATAAGGGCGGTTTGAATTTCCGGGGAGCGGCCTACCTACACGACCACACTTCGGGTGATAGGGAGGTTGCGGGAGGGAGAGACTGAAACTATATCACACCATCGCGTAGCATCGCATCGTTTAGCATCGCGTAGCATGACAAAGCATACCATAGCATGCCATGGCATTGCAAAGCAGCACAACATGGCATAGCTTATCATACCATGGCGTGATACATTATAGCAGAGCATAGCAAAGCATATCAACGCACAACACACCATAGCAAAACATCGCAAAATGATTGCATGGCATGGCATAGCATGGCATAGAGCATACCATGGCATAGCATCGCACATCATCGCGTCGCATCGCATAGCACAGCATGGCACACCACATCATTACATAGCATCGCATAGCATATCATAGCACAGCATTGCATAACATAGTATCGCATAAACTTGCACGGCATAACATCGCGCAGCATCGCATAGCGTAGTGTAAAACAGACACCACGGGACAACTTGCCCTAGCTAGTTGTCCTGGTTGAGTGGCAGCAGAACTACCCACCACAACAAGAAACCCTAATGTAATGGGCAGCCGGTGGTGGACCAGCCAGGCTCTCCCGCAGCGGCCTTGCTGGCGACACCAGGGAGACCCCAGCCCGACGGCCGAGGGTTTTCGGGTTGGGGCTCAAGGCCCTTGGGCCTGGAAGAGGAGAGGAGGAGGCTCAGCGGCGCGGCGTGGAGGAGGAAGGAGAGATGTCGCGCGCGCGCGTTGCTCCCTTGCTGTCCCGATCCGCTCAATTTTTTTCCTGGGCCCCTCCTGAAGCCCATCCTGACCGACTGTTCGAGGCGGATCTGGCCGTGGCGATGAGGAGCCCCAAGTAGGCCCAGAGAGGACTAAATGCGCCAGGGGCGGGCCGCCATTGCCTCGACTTGTTTTGTTGTTGCTGTTGTTGTTGTTGTTGTTGTTGTTGTTGTTGATGTGAGTGTTGTTGTTGTTGTTGTCGTCGTTGTCGTCGTCGTCGTCGTCGTCGTGGTTGTTGTTGTTGTTGTTGGTGTTGTTGTTGTTGTTGTTATTGGTGTTGTTGTTGCTGTTCGTGTTGGCGCTGCTGTTGGTGGTGGTGTTGATGTTGTTGTTGATGATGGTGTTGCTGTTGCTGTTCGTGTTGGTGTAGTTGTTGCTGTTGCTGTTGCTGATGGTGTTATTATTGCTGTCATTGCTGGTGGTGTTGTCGTTGGTGTTACTGTTGTTGTTGGTGGTGGTGTTGTTGATGCTGGTGTTGGTGCTGGTGTTGTTGTTGCAGATGATGCTGTTGTTGTTGTTGTGGTTGTTGTTGTTGCTGGTGTTGCTGTTGTTCGGTTGCTGTTGTTGGTTAGGGTGTTACAGTTATTGATGGTACTGTGGTTCCTTCTGATGCTACTGTTGTTATTGTTCTTGGTGTTGTTGGTGGTGTTGTTTTTACTATTGTTGTTGTTGTTGTTGTTGTTGTGATGGTGGTGGTGTTTTTTTTCTCCGCAGCGCCACAAGAGCTGCACACAATTCTGACTGCACAGGCCTGCCTCCACAACGCCACCGCTGCCTCGACCGGCCCTCCTCCGACGGGGGCCCTGACAAACTTGCCCTCCCTTCCCTCCCGCGCCGTGGCACGGGGCGGCGCCGAGCCCCGCGCCCGCTGCGCCTCGCACGGCCCGAGGGCGCCCGGCTCGGCCTGACGCCGTGAGGGGCGGGGGGGGGAGGGGGAGGAGGGGTGGACGGAGGAGGGAGGAGGGAGGAGGAGGGAGGATGATGATGATGATGATGAGGAGGAGGAGGAGGAGGAGGAGGAGGCGGGGGGGGGCAAGAGGGGGGGGAGGGGGAGAGGCAAGTGGGCGCGCTCGCGCCACTTCTGACATGCTACCCCGCTCGCCCGGCCCTTCCAACTGGTGCTGATGCGTCCTCCTATCCGCCGGCGCGTGTCATGGCAGACCTTGAACTCCAGAAAAGACACCATCGTGTTATGCGCAGTTGGAGGAGGGCAGCTGCGTACACGGGAGGAGGAGGAGGAGGAGGAGGAGGAGGAGGAGGAGGACGAGGTGGCGGAAGAGCAGGAGAATGAGGAAGAAGGGGGGCGATAACGACCAGCAGCAGCAAGAACTCGCATGGAAGGAGCGGGAGGAGGAGGACGAGGGGAAGGCCAAGGAAGGTAATCGATGGGGCGACAACGACGTGGAAGTCCAGAAGCGGCACTTCACTGGGGCGTGAGCGTCTCTCTGAACGACGGGAGCCAAGCCCCGATCCTGATATTAGAGGAGGGAACGCCTCGGATAGGACAAAAACACAGCAGACAAGGAGAACATAAGAGGCCCGAGAAGGAAAGGACCGAAAACGTTCGGATAGGAAACAAGAACACATACGACAAACCCATCTCGGCACCATCCTGCTTCACAAGCAGGTGCGCGGAGAAGGTCGCGCCACTGCCCGGCCGTCTTCGGGGGAGAGAGGGGAGCCAATCATATGGAGTGATCGTGGAGGGGAGATGGTGGGGAGGGAAAGAGGATCCGTCGGGGAAGGGGGAGGGGTGGGGGAAGGAAAGGGGCGAAACGGGGGCAAGGGAGGGTGCGAGGGCACATGAAGAAAGGCGGGCAAGGAGGAGAGGGAGCAGAGAGGGAAGGGAGGGGGAGAGGAAAAGGGCCGAAGAGGGAATAGGCTGGATCAGTCAGCATCGAAGCACGAATCGGATCGGACTGGAACGTGGGTCGAGTCTGGCTGCATCGGCACGGAGTCTACAGCAGGAGCTCGACCACAAGACACCTTCCACGAGAAACCCGACTCTGAGACCCCAGGTCGTCCACTGACTTTTGGTGCGGGGACGTCACGCTCTCCATGGCAAAACCCTTGACACCCAAGAAACCCTGGGAAGCAAGCAGGGTGTCTCTTGGCACGGGCCGCCGCTGTTAGTGGAACTGGAACGGCAGAGCCACGATGCACAACGACACCATGCGAGCATCGGGCCGCCTCGGCTCGTGGGAAGATCGGGCCTCGAGCGGGATCGAGCGGGCCGACATCTGTATACCAAAGCCACGCTAGCAACGATGTTGCTTCACAGTGATGTTGGGAACCCACTTGTAGGAAATCACGGCCCAAACATGCCGACGTTCCCACATGCAACTGTGCCGAACGAAAAACGACACAACGAAGTGTAGGAGAGCGCGAGCCGCGCGCTCCCACAGCACCGAAACCTACATCGCAATTACCTGCATCGCCGTTAGCGCGTCTACGGATAGATCCCGCCGGGTCGACCAGATCGGAGTGGGTGCTGAAAGGATAGGCGAGGCTGCAGGGGGGGGGAGCAAGGACACGGCGGGCGGATGCGGACGGGAGAACGGCGGGAGGGAATACTAGACGAGCGCGTTCCACTACTCGTAAAATAACTGTTCGCAAATGGCAAACATGTGTGTTTGCTCGAACGTTTGCGAGTAGTCACGTTGCGAGTAGCGGAACGCGCTCGTTGAAATTCGTGAATCAGAAGCATCACCCGCTGAAAGGAAAACGGGCCGTGCCGAGCTTTTGGACAAAAACACGAGCATGTGCCCAAATGCGCAGACAAACGAATATCGCGCTTGTGTATAGATCCGCCACCGTTCTAAAATCTCTTAGTGGAGCGTCTTCAGGTCACTTCGAGTTCTCTGTGCTGAATATCTGAAATGCTCCTTCAAGGGCTCAAGCTATTTTGGCTCAAGCCATGTTGGCTTAATACTTGGCTCAAAAGAGGCTCAAGCCCCAAGCAATCAACCAACATCCCCTTCATTCATTGCATCTGTGCCATGGCATGGGCCAAAAAGCAATGGACTGAAACGTCGAGCAGCAAAGATGTGTGTTTGGGAAGGCGATGGAAATACAGACCGGACCCGCGACGGGAACGCAGAAAGTTCGCAGAATTCATCGTAGAAAAGCTTGTCGCGATATCGAATGACCAGTTTGATATAATCCACCGGCTGGGCGAAATCGAGTCCCACACTTTGCGCGCAGAAGTGCAGGCCAATCCATACTGCTAGCACCCTGTCCCAATGGAACCTACAGTAGGAATGCAAGGGACAACTTGGTATGTTGAGATACCTAAGTTTGAATACGTCGAGAAGGCTGTCGAAGTTCCCAAGGTTGCACTTGTGGAAAAGATCGCAGAGCAGACACTTATCATGCCAAGCGCTCGTGAGAATGCCAGCAGTGGTGAAATGGCTCGAGACGGCGCCCCTTCTTGTGAGGCGAATGGCGTATCTAGGGAAGATGGAACGATAAAGGAAACGGAGGCCACAATTGACGGTCTAATCTCGAGTATTCAGACAAACATCAGTTTGTTCATCGATGCGAAGGACGAAGCAAGTTACATAGGTCTGGTGCTGGATACGCTTGGAAACCAACTTGTGGAATGCAAATCAACATTCCCCAATCAAAACCACAAGAAGCTATCGAGGGTTGAAGTGGAGCAGCGTTATGAGTTCATGCATCGGTTTTGTCTCTGGCGGAATGTATGCGACAAATTTCACAGTGGGACTGGAGACCCGCTGAGCAAGACAGACGAGTCTGTGGAATCGATGTTCAATTGCGCAAACTGTGGCCGAGGCGATGGGTTTCGCACAAACGTATGTGAGGCAAATGCGCCCCTTCTTTTTGTTACGACGCTGCATGTTCAAACCCATGGGAAGGACTGTAACAGTTGAGCCAATCGTACACACTCGAGATCGTAAAGTAATTGTGTACTACGCCATCTGAGTTTCGGCGCTCCGGCGCCCCCGCCGAGCTCTTAGCAGGCCGCCCCCCAGGGCGCACATCGGCGCCTGTCCTGTCCTGTCCTGTCCTTCAGGGGCGCAGCCCCCCCCGTGTTCCGTGCGCTCTTGGGCGCTCCTTTCTTCCCCCCGCGTGACTCGTCCACAGGCCTCGGGAGCGTGGCTTGGAATCCGTACTTTTTCTCACAAGTTGTCCCAGGGCCCTTCCTGGAGCCCTCCTTGGGGACCCTTCGGCCGGCTTGGAGGCCTGCAGGGGGGCCAGGCCAAGTCGCAAAAATGCTCTGGCAAATCGCATCCTTTCCGCACGCTTGCCTCTTCGGCCCGACAAGCGATCAGGCTGGCCCGAGAGGCAACCCCACATCGACCCAACACGACCCCCGAGGCCCCCCCAGAGGGCCCACAAGAGTACCATATGTCGGGGGCGCGCAAACATGGATTAGCGATCCATGGATTTGGCGCACGGTCGCCAAATCCATGGGTCGGGGCAGGTGCTCTCCCCTAAATGCGGCCGGTGCCGCCTCGTTCGGCGGCGGAAAGCCAGATTTCCCGTGGAAGCGGGACCCGTCGCTAGTCCACGCCCCCTTGGTCCATGCTTGCGATCGCCTGAGACAGGAGGGCCCCCCTGAGGTCTCCCCATTGGGCCCAAAAGGGCATCGTGCGGAACGCATGGCCTCGCGCCTGCACTGCTAGCAGGCCCCAGCGCGCACGCGCCAGAGGAGGGCCCGGACAGGAGGGCCCCCCCAGGGCCTCCCCAGAGGGCCCCAAAAGGGCATCATACAGTAGGGGCCCGACCGCAAGAACCCTTCCACGAGAAGCCCAACCCCGAGGCCCCAGGGCATCCACTGATCTTTGGCGTGGGAACGCCACGCTTCCCATGGCAGGACCCTCGAAGCCCCAGCAGCCCAGGGCACCCTGGAGGCAAGGAGGGTGCTGCTTGGCATGGGCCTCCGCTGCACGGAACGCATGGCCTCGCACCCTCACGGCTGACCTTGCCGTCGCTCGGACGCCCATTCCCCGTGCACGCTTCGGTTCCGTGCGTGTTTTTTGTTCCTCGATGGTCCAGGATGGTCCTCGTGGTTTCTCGCCGAGAACAAATGCACACGTCCAAGCGATGCCACGGGACGGGCCCCAGCGCGCACGCGCCGAGGGGGGGGGGCCCAGGCAGGAGGGCGGCGCGAGCGGCCGCACGGGCGGAGAGCTCGCCGCAGTCGGGGTCACCTCGGGGGTTAGGGGGGGGGGGGGGGGGCACCCTCCAGCGGCCGCCCTGGCTGGGGGCCGCCCAGGGGGCGCAGGAGGGAAGGGGAGGAGGAGTCGAGGAATCGAGAGGGAGGAAGTGGGAGTGGAGGTGGAGGTGGTGGCGGTGGTGGAGGAGGAGGAAGAGGGAGGGAGGGAGGAAGGAAGGAAAGAAGGAAGGACGGAAGGAGGGAAGGAGGATACATCGAGGATGAGTTGAGGACGAACATGAGAGAAGTCGAAGAGGAGAAGGAGGAGGAGAAATCGGGGAGGAGGAGGCACCTAGGACCTATGAGGAAGCGAGGATGAGGATGGGGAGGAGACCTCCCGAGGATGTAGAATATTTATTTGGGCGAGGGGTTGGACTAAAAATTGTCCAGGGTGGAGGAGGAGGAACCACGGAGGACAAAAAGACGAGGAGAAGTCGATGAGCGGAATCGGAGAGGACGAAGATGAATATCAGGCGTTGCTTCATGGGGGGAACTAGCTGGGGAGGAGAAGCGTGCACATCTCGTGCCCCTTTTGAGCCCCGCGAGTCGGGCCTTTTCAAAGAAAAATCGGCACACGTTTCTTCACAACAAACTTATCGCCCCGCAATGACGCAACGCCCGAGAACAGAAAAAGTGAAAGAACTCCGGAGAAGTCGACGAGACCTCTGGAAGGGGAACGAACAAGAAAATGTGACGCGACCAAAGTAGATGGGATCGGAGGATCGCGCCCGACTGCGAATGAATGCGACAACGAAGAAATCAAAACAGCGGCTCCCTTTAGGCGACCTGGAACCCTGGCAAATTCCTCCTTTCGGCAGCATGTACCCAAACCTCGAATATCGATGGGGCCCCTTCGTCGCCGCACATGGATCCGCCTCGAATTTCTTGCCGGAGCGCAGCCCGGGACAATGAGTGCGAAGTGGAGCTCGAAGAAAGGGATAGACCCGCAAATGTCCTGATGCAATCGGGAGGGCTCCGTCCGGGGCCACGAGGCTGCCAGAAAACCGCCCAGGACGGAACATCGGGTTTGGGGAGGGGGGTCGAAAGCTCTGGTCGGCGGCGGGTTCGGGGGGAAGTGAGAAAGGTTGGGCCGTCCGGCTCCGAACGCTTCTGGCCTTCTGAAGCGTTTTCGAAACCTTCCCCGAAGACGCAAGAAACTCATTAGAGGGCCACGGGGCTTCTGAGAAACCCTGCCGCATTATGACAATGCCTGCTCCTTCACACATCCCCAACGGCCACGCCGCAGATCTTGGGGCCGTCACAACCACACCCGCGAAGTCGGATGCCTGGGTACGTGCCTGCATGCAGACCGCGGCCTCCAGCTGCCGCTCCCGCGTGCGACGTCTGGTCGCGGGTGCCAGCTTACGCGTGGTCCGCGCAGGACTTCGCGACGGCCCTGTTACCTCGCACGTGGGGGAGGAAGTCTGGGTACGCACGTGTTCGCCCGTGAGCAACTTCTCATCCGACGGCCTTCGGCATGCTTCGGCGGTATTCCGCAACAGCTGGATGACTGGGTTCAACGAGAGGCCCACGACCGCACCTGAGATGACCAGGGGCTACAGCTGACCGCAGCTCAAACGCCACCCCACCACTAGGGACCCCCGTAAACGTATTGAAAGCCCGCGGCGTTTTCCCGTCAATGTCGGCGTGGGGGATTTATCGCAGGCCCGGAAGCCCTTATCAGGCACAAGAGCAGTCCATAAGCGTCCACGAATCACAAAGTGCGTCGCAGAACATGGTGGGATCTCAGAGCACGGAAACAACGTCGCACTCCCATGTTCCTTGTCGTAACGGCCGAAAGGCGGTGATACCGCAACTGGTCAAAGCACACGCTTGCCCTACACTGAGAAACATCGCCTTCAGGCGGACCCCTCGCGAATTTCCCGTGCACTATCACTTCCGAACAGGCCCAAAGAGGCCACAGCGGCGCAAGACTGTGAATCCCCCGCGCAGGTGTGCGAATTGCATTCGGCGGCTGTCACCCAGGGGAGAGGGGCGGAGGACGAGGAGGAAGAGGAAAGGAATGATACAAAAACCGGGTTGCGACGCTTCGGCCGCATTCCACGGGAACGCGCCGTTACGACAGAGTCTTCCTACTCCAGCCCACTGTGGAGGAAGGGGAAGCGGAATATCCCGACATAATCAATGTTGCGACACGTCGGCCGCTTTTCTCAGGGCGGGCCCGTTATGACAGGATCCGCCCATGCTGCACCAAATTACTCTGGCCAAGGACCCAACCACATGCAGTTGTGAATACCGCACTTGCGCTGGATGTTGGCGGACGCGTGCGGGCGGTGCCAGTGGGACCTTCGGTGGAACACCCTATGGGGCCACGAAACGCTGTACTGGGTGGGTGAAACGCAGGGAGCAAAGGGTGTGCTGGGTGGTAACAGACGCATGCGGGCGGTGCCACTGGGACCTTCGGTGGCGCCCCCCTATGGGGCTACGGAGTGTGTACTGGGTGGGTGAAACGCAGGGAGCAAGGGCTGTGCTGGGTGGTGGCGGAGACATGCGGGCGGTGCCAGGGCCTTCGGTGGAGCACCCTATAGGGCCACGAGACGCTGTACTGGGTGGGTGAAACGCAGGGAGCTAGGGCTGTGTTAGGTGGTGGCGGCCTCATGCGGGCAGTGCCCTTGGAACCCCCGTTTTATGGGGCCACGAAGCGTTGTAATGGATGGGGGGGACGCAAGGATTAAGGGCTGCGCTGGGTGGTGGCGGACGCATGCGGGCGGTGCCACCGGGACCTTCGGTGGAGCCCCCTATGGGGCCACGAAGCGCTGTACTGGGTGGGTGAAACGCAGGGAGCACGGGCTGTGCTGGGTGGTGGCGGACGCATGCGGGCGGTGCCACTGGGACCTTCGGTGGAGCCCCTTATGGGGCCACGAAGCGCTGTACAGGGTGGGTGAAACGCAGGGAGCAAGAACTGCGCTGAATGACGGCGGACGCATGCGGGCGGTGCCAGTGGGACCTTCGGTGGAGCCCCCCATGGGACCACGAAGCGCTGTACTCGGTGGGTGAAACGCAAGGAGCAAGGGCTGTGCTGGGTGGTCGCGGACGCATGCGGGCGGTGCCACTGGGACCTTCGGTGGAGCCCCCTATGGGGCAACGAAACGCTGTACTCGGTGGGTGAAACGCAGGGAGCAAGGGTTGTGCTGGGTGGTGGCGGGCGCATGCGGGCGGTGCCACTGGGACCTTCGGTGGAGCCCCCTATGGGGCCACGAAGCGATGTACTGGACGGGGGAAACGCAGGGATCGACGGCTGCGCGGGGCGGTGGCGGACGCATGCGGGCGGTGCCACTGGGACTTTCACTGGAACCCCTTTCGGGACCACGAAGCGCTGTACTGGGTGGGTGAAACGCAGGGAGCAAGGGCTGTGCTGGGTGGTGGCGGACGCATGCGGGCGGTGCCACTGGGTGTTTCGGTGGAACTCCCGATGGGGCCACGAAGCGTTGTGCTGGGTGGGTGAGACGCATGGAACAAGGAGGAGGGATGAGGAGGGGGAGGAGGAGAGGGACGGAACGCGGGGACCGTCTCTTCAAAACGGGGACCCGGCACCACAAGATGGTTGGGAAAAACAATAAGATATGAGAAAGAACGGAATGCAGTTACCACGCGCGCGCCTTCTCCTTTATAGCTGGATCAGTTGCCCCAGTTCCAACACATCTGAAGTAGCCTGGCGAGTGACCCAACTATATGCAATTGACAGTACCGCAAGTGTGAATATCTTCTTCGGTGGCGCTCCCCATGGGGCCACGAAACGCTGTATTTGGTGGGTGAGACACAGGGAGCACGGGCCGTGTTGGGTGGTGGCGGACGCATGCGGGCGGCGCCACTGGGACCTTCCGTGGAGCACCCTATGGGGCCACGAAACCTGTAATGGGTAGGTGAAACGCAGGGAGCAAGGGCTGTGCTGTGCTGGGTGGAGGCGGACGCATGCGGGCGGTGCCAGTGGGACCTTCGGTGGAGCCCCCTATGGGGCCACGAAACGCTGTACTGGGTGGGTGAAACGCACGGGTCAAGGGCTGCGCTGGGTGGTGGCGGACGCATGCGGGCGGTGCCAATGTGACCTTCCGTGGAGCACCCTATGGGACCACGAAGCGCTGTACTGGGTGGGTGAAACGTAAGGAGCAAGGGCTGTGCTGGGTGGTGGCGGACGCACGCGGGCGGTGCCAGTGGAACTTTCGGTGGAACCCCCTTAATGGGACCACGAAGCACTGTACTGTGTGGGTTGAAACGCAGGGAGCAAAGGCTGTGCTGGCTGGTGGCGGGCTCATGCGGGTGGGACCTTTGGTGGAGCACCCAATAGGACCACGAACCGGTGTACTGGACAGGGGACGGAATAGGACCACGAACCGAGCGCAGGTATCAAGGGCTGCGCTGGGTGGTGGTGGACGCATGCAGGCGGTGCCACTGGGACCTTCGGTGGAGCCCCCTTATGGGGCTATGAAAAGCTGTACTGGGTGGGTGAAGCGCAAGAGACGACTGCTGTGCTGGGTGGTGGCGGACGCATGCGGGCGGTGCCACTGGGTGCTTCGGTGGAGCTCCCTATGGGACCGCGAAACGTCGTACTGGATGGCGGGCACGCGGGCGGTGCCAGTGTGACCTTCGGTGGATCCCCCTTATGGGGCTATGAAAAGCTATACTGGGTGGGTGAAACGCAAGAGGCAACTGCTGTGCTGGGTGGTGGCGGACGCATGCGTGCGGTGCCACTGGGTGCTTCGGTGGAGCTCCCTATGGGACCACGAAACGTTGTACTGGGTGGTGGCGGACATGCGGGCGGTGCCAGTGGGATGTTGAGAGGAGCCCCCTAATGGGGCCACGAAGCGCTGTACTGGGCGGGTGAAGCGCAGGGATCAAGGGCTGCGCTGGGTGGTGGCGGGCGCATGCGGGCGGTGCCACTGGGGGCTTCGGTGGAGCTCCCTATGGGGCCACGAAGCGCTGCGCTGGAAGAGGAGGAGAGGGAGGATGAGGGGGAAGAGGAGGAGAGGAGGAGAG